TTTTTGGTGTGTGTCTGGCTCAGCCTGCCCTGGGGGTGGGGCTGGCATGGCATGTGGTACTGGGGATCGAACCACAGTCCCTATGCTTGCCTAAGCAGGTGCTGTAGACTGCTGTGCTATCTCGCCGACCCCTGGATCTTACTTCTTGGTCCATTTTGCCAGTTTGCATCTTCTGACTGGTGAACTGAGACCATTAATACAGATGGTTATAAATGCCTTATTGACTTATCCTTGTCATGTTCTTTTCCTCTTGTTGGATCCCTTTTTTATTCTCATTCTATTTGTCTTTCCTGGTGGATTCCTTTTGTTGGGGTTGATGGAGTCGTACTCCTTGTTATCTTTTTGTAGAACGTCCTTCAAAACATTTTAGAGTGCTGGTTTCCTCAGATGTTCTTTGTCATGAAAGTATCTTATTTCTCCATCAATTTTGAAATACAGTTTTTCAGGGCACATCAATCTGGTTTGGACTAGAGGTTGTTTTCCTTTAGAATTTGAAATACTTCACTCCAAGCTGTCCCTGACTTGAGGGTTTGTACTAAGAAGTCAGCTGTGATTCTTTTTCTTTCTTTTTTTTTTGGCGGGGGGAAGTGGGGATGGAACTCAAGCCCTTGCGCTTGCCACGGAATATCTCCTACCAAATCACTTAAAAACCTATCCTTCTTGTTCTTTGCTTTTTGTAGTTCTGAGGATGGAACCCAGGTCTCACCCCTGCTAGGCAACCATCACATCAAGAGCTTCATCCCAAACTGTTTTTACAAGTATTTGGAGACAAGTCCCAAGGAAGCTATCCTGGGACTGGATATCCTCACCCTCACCCTTATCCTCATCCTAGGTACCTTCAAAGAACAACTTCTATTGTGGGTCCTGCATACAACACACTACCTCTATAATCAGAAGCCATTTTTAAGAAAACAAACAGCCAGGGATATAGCTTAATGAGAAAGCATGTGCTTCATATGCACAAGGCCCTGGGCTTAATTAAGCCTCAACGCTAAAAAACACAAAAGTTTCTCTTTTAGAATACTGAATTTTTTGCTTATTTACTTATGTTATTTTTATTCTGGGGGTCGGGGCAAGGATAGGTTTTTGCTATGTAGCATATGCTGGCCTCAAATTCTCAGCAATCCCTCTGCCTCAGCCTTCAAGGACTGGGATTACAGATATGTACTACCACTTCTGGCTTAGAATACTGTTCTTTAGATTTTTTAAGGTTATTGTAATAAGCAACTAAGAACCCAAAGCTTTATTCAGAACATACCCTAAGGATGTCAACTGTGTAGTTAGGGACACTGAGGAGACTGACCTATCAGACATCTAACCGGGGGCTGTAGTTCAATGAGCTAAACTAAATCTAAATCCATTGTTGAGAACCTAGAATGGGGAAACTAAATCAGAAGTAGCATTATGATCTAAGAAGCAAGGAAAGACAGCTGGATGTGGTGGTACTTGGGAAGCTGAAGAAGGACTGCCCTGAATTTGAGGCTAGCCTGAGCTTCAGAATGAAACCTCATCTCAAACAATAAAAAATAAAAAAAGAAGGTCAGGAGTAGTTGTGATTGTCATTTGCAAGGTAGGCATGAGAGTAAAAACACATACAAGAGGGAGACAGAAGGCATGGAAAGAATACAGAGAAGACGCAGTGAGACTGGCATTCCGAGGGAGCAAAGTACTCAGTTCTCAATGCTGACCTTTTCCAAGGCTCCTAGTGACCAACAATATTCATTTCTCTTGATTTTTATTTTTTTAGATTTAAGCGGGTCTGTATTCTTAATACCCAGCAGAACCCTAACTAAACTATAATTTAAGCCTAAAATGTGTTTTAAGTATAATTAGGCAGGGGCCAGCCAAATAGCTCAGCAGATTAAAGTACGTGCAAGCAGGTGCAGGGGCTGGGGGTTTGGCTCCTGTGGCACAGAGATGGCGATTGAGACTGGGCATGGTGGTGTGTGCCT